CTTGCTATCTTTCTCTATCCTCTTCTCTTCACCTTGCCCATTCCACACTGTCCTATTCTCATTAAGTACCTTCACTGCTTTTATGTCCTCCAATTTTTTGCTCTCTACCATAGAGGGCGGATAGTCAGTATATACTGAGTGGATACATACCATATCTTTCTTTCATAGCCTGGCTTACTTCACTCAGCAATAGATCCTCCATATCTGACCACTTTCTATCAAATTCCAGGGTCTTGTTATTTTTTATGGCTGAGTAGTATTCCATAGAGTATATATACCACACTTTTCCTATCCATTCATCAGTTTGTGGACATTTAGGTTGTTTCCATGTCAAGGCAATTGTGAATAATGCTGCAATAAACATTGATGCATTGCTCAATTTTGATGTACAAATGGTGAGAATTTTTTGATGGCAAGAGAGGTAGATGATGCAGGTTAAGTGAGAGCTGTCCCATAACTCTGGTGTCAGAGCTTTGTTCTTTTTTTGGGGAGAGGTTTTTGCTATAGGGCGTGTGCACTCGCCAGACAGACAGAGAGAGACATAGAGACAGAAAGCGAGAAATCACCCCCCAGGGGGGATGGCCACGCTGCAATCCCTTGTACTCCATTCTCCTCACGGGATCTTGGGCACGCACACACACACGCCCATCGTGAGTTTTAAGCCACCGGATCAGGGACGCAAACCGAGGTCGACTACGTGGGAGTCCAGCGACATAGCCATTATGCTAACTGCTGGTCCCTGGTGTCAGAGCTTTTAAACTAAAGACAAATTAGTTCAGACATTCAAAATGTTAACAGGAAAAATCTCTGCCAGAGCCTGTACAGGTGACTAATCTTGCCTATTATGAATGTTTTTCACTTACTTGTAAGTACAGAGTAAGAGCAAAGCTTCAACATCTGCCTCTGAGAATATTGAAACATTTTCGAATGAATTCCATTTACTTAGTCATATTAAATTGCTTAAAATATACTTTAGACTACTTTAAATATTATCTATTAGGTGTAGATAAAATTTTCACAATTTTTTTCCCTTAACTCCTTCCTGAATTATTCCACTAGGAAATTAGAGTTTCTAAGTCATTGATTTCATTTTCCTCACCATCAGTGAGATATAGGCACAGAATTCTGCCCTCTTTCTAAGTTGTGGTACCCTTGGGAGTTTTCTCTTTTGATATGAATTTGAATCTCCCATTTTCTGCTGCTGCAGTTGATGTTGGAGTCACATATGTCAGAGCTGACATGCCAGAGTGATGCATTGATTACACTGCTGATATTGAAGACATTTTATTTTTTTACATCCGTATTTTTTATGTTAAAATCGATGTCATTACAAAACACATGAAGTATTCTAATGCAGCTCCTGCTTGTTCTTATAGGGCTACAGTGTAATAGCAGATGCATACTCATAAAAATGCTTCTCACTTTTAGGGCTAGAATTTAGACAATTGTTGTTAAACCAAGTCTCTTTTGGACTTTTTGAGATATTTATTGCATAAGGAAATCACAGCTCATAAGGAGAAAAGTTCACAGAACCAAGATGCTGCCCTCCTTCACGTGGCTCTCTTCTGCCCCAGTGCCCTGTAGAAGGCACCCTTCACCTGAGCGTCCTTTACTTGAGCGTTCCTCAGGCTGTAAATAAGAGGATTCAGCAGTGGATTGAAGAGGCAGTAAAACAGGGTCAGAATTTTCTGTGGCTCTTGCTGTTGACTGTCATCTGGGATCAAGTACAGCAGCATAGCTATGCCAAAGTAGAGCCCCACCACACAGAGGTGGGAAGAGCAGGTGGAAAATGCTTTTATGCGACCCTCCTTTGACTTGATTTTCAGGATATTCCAGAGGATGCATATGTAGGAGATGAGCATCAGGGAAAGGGGCACAATTAAAAAAAACACACCACAAGCAAACATGTAAAATGTATTGACCCAGGTGTCAGCACAGGCCAATTTGAGTACATCTAAGATGTCACAGAGAAAGTGATTTAACTCTTGGGGTCCACAGAAGGGCAGCCTTACAAGAAGCAATATATTTACCATTATCAGGGAAAATCCACATACCCACGACATGACAGCAAGGATTGTGCACCTTCTCCAGTTCATGACGATGATGTACTGGAGAGGGTGACAGATGGCCACATACCTGTCATAGGACATCACCATCAATATCATGCACTCTATAGAGCCAACAGTCAAACAGAAAGTTATCTGCAGAACGCATGAGACAAAGGAGATAGTTCTTTTGTGCTGCACTAGGTTTCTCAGAGTATGAGGTACACTGCCAGTAGCATAGGTTATATCGATGATGGCCAGGTGTGAGAGGAAGAAGTACATGGGGGTATGCAATTGAGGATCTGACCAAATGAGTCCCAGGATGATGCCATTTGCCAGCAGACCAAAGATGTATAAGAGGGAGAAGACCCAGAAGAGAAGAAGTTCCATCTCTGAACTGAGCTGGAATCCCACCAGGATAAATTCGGTGACCCATGATTGGTTGGTTTCCATTTCTTAATGATGATTAGTCAAGGATTAAAGAGTGATGTAAAGTCAGTACTGGAGAGTCAATGAAAATTGGAGTTATTTATCTCAAAATATTATGAGAGGAATCTTGTACGCTTGTATTCAGTTTATGGACTCTTTTTTTTCTTATTCTAAATTTTTATTTTGAATAATTGAAGCTTTCAGATATGTATCAAGGGTTATTAATTGTATTCTCATATATACTTTGCACATGTACAATGATTGTCCATATTTTTCATATTTTTTATCATTATTTTTATCTGAATAAATTTGTCTGATGATTAATTCTTTCTGAGGACTTCAGGCTAATGGGAATTCATGACGTGATCATTGTTAATTTGTAAGTATCATTTTTCATTATTACTCTTTTTTATATTTTCATTACATGATTAAAATATGAGATAATGCTACAATGCTTTTGTCCATTTTTAATTTATAATCATATTCTGTCATCTATATTTTCTAAATAAAATATTTCTCTGCACTGTCCTTTACACTTGCATTATTTTATTGCATATGTTTTAAATTTGCGTATCTTACTCCAGTTAGGATCTTTACCACATAATGCTTAAATGTTATGATTGTACTTTCCTGTTTTTTAAATTAAATCTTTATAGTAAATACAGACAATGGATGTTCACTAATATCTCTCTCTCCCTTTCTCTCTATGATTATCATTATTGTTCTCACCATTGTCATCACTTTCTACCTGTCAAAAAAGAAAACAAAAAAAATAAATCAAGACATATCATTCCTGGAAGTAAAAATACACAATAAGAACTAGTCTCTGGGCCATCAAATGGCAAAGTGGTTACATTGCTCAATTCCCAAATGACCAACTGTGGTTTGTGTCCTGGACTCAGTGGTTTGAAACTCACACCTGGCACGAGTGCATACAAGCCCCAGATCCCAGGAAGGGAGTGGAAGAGAAGGGATTGTGGGGTCACAATTGCTCCCTTTCTCTCTCCCTAAGACTAAAATTTCTTCATATATATATATACATTTAAAATCTGTAATTTAGGTAGCAAGAGACTCTCAAGCTTACGTTTCTTAAAAGTTGTCCTACGTTCAGATTTTCAGCTTTTGCAGGAACCAGCAGTTTGCGTAATGGCTATGTCGCTGGACTCCCGCGTAGTCGACCTCGGTTTGCGTCCCGGACCTGGAGTGGCTTGAAAATCAAGCCGGGAACATGTGCGTGCATGTGCGAAATCCCGAGAGGAGGATGAAGGAGAAGGGATTGCGGCATGACCATCCCCCCTGGGGCATGATTTCTCGCTTTCTATCTCTCTGTCTCTCTCTGTCTGGCGAGGGTACGCGCCCTATAGCGAAAAAAAAAAAAAAGACTTTCAGTTTTTTCAAACTACCTTTGAGAGGAGCATTTGTCTGATTTAATATGGATCAGTCAAATCTGGGATAAAAACCAATGGTGTTTTGTGGGCGTCGTGATCTCTATGACCTCTGTTCTGAGTTTCCTTTCTACACATCCTTTAACCTCTATGTTAAGACCAAGTGGCACCGAAGTTTGACTTCATATCTAGTGGCTTCTTTTCAATTCCAGTTTGTGTCCCAGGAAGTCCTCCTGTTACCTGGACAAGTGATGACTGGAATGACATGTTTCTCCAGATCTCCAACATCTGTTACACAGATATCTCTTTACCAGTGCACTCAGTACACGTTAAAACAATTCTTAATATACGCAACACCAGAGATTTTGAATACAAATGATGTAAATTACGTTATTGTTTTTAACTACTCATGGCAAAAGCATGTTTTCTACAGAGCTAACACACGCCTAAGAAAATATGATTATATCCTATTGTGGTGGATATAAATGTAATTTATATTGGTTATTGACTTTATTTTTAAGTTTTTGAGAGAATGGGTTTAATACTAAAAATAATCAGAAAATTATTGTAAATCACTGTGGAGAGTATCAGGCACAGGTAACACAAGTTCTGAGGCAGGCTTATGTGAAGCAGTAAATTGCATACGAGTTATTCAAAAACACTGATGTCATCACACAGAGCCAACCCACCGCCTTACTGAGTAATGTGAAGTGATGGCTCAGAGTACAGAGAAAACTAGGGGTATCAATTGAGGAGTTCTCCTGTATGTTTAGGACCACGTACAGTAGAAAAGAAGGTGTAAGTCTCCTTATTTTTCCTCATACCTCATAAAAACTCAGGTAACTGGCCCCCCATTTTAGTTTTTTTTTCAGTTCTAGAGTTAGAGTAGATTCACATGAGCTGGCTTTTCAGACACCTCTTAAAGGTACAGAGTTGATTAATAATATCTGTAAGAAGAGTTACCTTTTTCTGTCTTCAAAGAACATATACGCAAGATAAAACTTAAAAACTTAAGAGGGTATGATACCAAATGCTATTTATTTGAACTGAAATGCCTCCTGTAACCAGTTCTAAAAGTGTGAGTTTT